GAGAGCAAGCCGAAGCATGGTAAGGCAGAAGGCCCGGTGGACGTATATGTGCCACAGTGGAGAGTTCGGCCGTGTGACGGGCTTGAGACAGAGGCTGTCCCCGAGCAGCCTGTTTGAGGTCTGATGATGCCCAGAAGCTGTCCGTAAGCTGAGGGTGACGGACTTGTGACATAAAAGAGTGGGACAACACTGTCCACAAGCTGAAGGGCCACATCACCGAGCTAAAGGAGGCTCAGGACACGCTGAGGAGGAGATCTCGGGGAGGCCAAGGCGAAGATAGTCTGGGTGGAGGAAGGAGTTGCCGAGTATAAGGCCTCGGAGGCCTACCAGAACAACTTGGACAACTTCACCACTCATTCCTAGGAGCAAATCTATTTGACTCGAGATCAAATTTGGATTGGAGTTTTCTATTTGAACTCAATTTGAATTGATATTTGACATACTTGAGTATCAACTCAATTTAACTCAAATATAAATAAATTTGTATACAAAATTATTATTATTTACTTATTTTATAAATAGAAATATATTAAAAAGTTAATATTTTTGGTATTACAAAACTTGAATTTGACTCAATTGCAAGTTGAGTATATGTTTGGCATCATTTTCTCAGATACAACACCGTTTTCTTAGAAAATGGTGCTGCTGATGTGTGGGTTGGAAGCACTGTTTTCTGAGAAAATGGTGTCTTTTTTTTTTTTTTTGGAAACGTTGCTACCAGATAGGACATTTCCTGGAGCAACACCAACACTTTCTGTTTGGTACCAGTGCTCCATATCTGTTTTCAGCACTGGTACCCATTATAGGAAGTCCACGTCACTGCCACATCATGTCCTTGTTGGCAGCAACAAGCTCCAATATGAGAAAACGTCAAATTCGGCATTGCTCCAAACCACGCCTTCTCAATTTCCAAGATGTGACTTGGAACACCAATTTTTATGGAAAAACGGTCTCAAACATATTAACGTTTCCTAGAGCACCGTTTTCTCCGATGTAGCGCTGATGTATCACCATTTTCTGGAGCAACGACATCGGTGCCAAACATATGCTGAGTTTCGTTATTTAGTGAGATAAACTCAGGTATTACAAAGTTCGAGCTCAACTTGACTAACTATTCAATTCGTTGGAGGTTGACTTGAACTCAATTATTTGCAAGTCAAGTTCGAGTATTTAGTGAACCAACCTCCAATAGTTCATGAGTAAACTTGGCTCGCTTGCATCTCTAAACCACAATTATTAGATTAGTTTTGGGCATGCATGGATATGTTGGATTTGGATCTATAAGTTTGGGGCAAGCTAAGGCCCAAGCACAACCATAATACTATGAACCCAAGCAATCTCAAAGTCCTCAATCCAACCCTACTTATTAGGTATGACGTTTGGATGGGCTACATATTTTGTTATTACAATGCGGTTTGAACTGGTAACATGTCACTCTTGGGGAAACGTGTAAAAGTAACAGGAGGTGGGTTAATACTCTCATTACTCATTTTTTCCTTTTTTCAAACAAAAAACAAAAAAAAAATCATTTTTCGACAAGTCGTCTCTATTCTTTGTCCTCTCTGCTTGTGGTTTGAACAATGAAGAGAGCATCTCAATGGGTAGAAATTAAATGGAATTTTGGAGTGAGCAGTGGAAGAAGACTTGAAGAACGGTGGTAGAAAAGGAGGTTTTCGGCAAATCTTGTATCATCTATTCTACAAATGGAAGACATATATTGATTCTCTCTCTCTCTTCTTAGGCGAAAGGATTTGAATAAGGTGAAACTTATTTTTTGAATGGGTTTTAGACTTTTAGGGTGGAAGTTTTTGAGCAGAGTAAAACTTCATAAATAGTTGCTCGACCAACTGTTACAATCCTCTTTCCCAATTGCACCAATGGCAATAATGTTGAACCCTTGAACCCTTGAACCTCTTTCCCAATTGCACCTATATATGTTTGGTTTGAAGGAAAAAGTAGAGAAATGAAGAGAAAGATATGAAAACCTATACAAGGTTTGTAAATGTTTCCTTAACTTTCTCTTCCTTTTCCTATTTTTTCCTTCAAACCAAACACAACCTTAAAGATTTTTAATGTATCATATTGCACAACTAGTTGAAATCTCTCCATTGTTCAACATACTTAATAAAGTATAAAGATCTTTTAATAAAAGCTAATACAGTTTGATTAATATCATATAAAAAATCTATGAGATTATAGAGATCTTCAAAGACAATCAAAGCCTTCATGTATAATTTACTAGCGTATAGGGGCTTGTTTTGAACAAGAAATACAACAAACTATCAGGGATTATGGAACTGGCATGGCATTGTTTAATATGGTCTGGTTAGTACCATATAAGAGGTCAGATTTCTCAATAGATAGATAAATAATTGGAGAAACAAATACCTAGGCAGTAGAAAACTTTAAGAATGTTGGAAGAGAAGTGTTTCAATAGGCTCTATGTCCTCTCTGATCATTGGATGGAAGACATGAACCAGTTGTTTTCTCTCTTTGAGCTTTTAGGTATGGGTGGAAGGTTTTGAACAAAGTAAAATTTCATAGACTTTTAGGGTAGGGGTTGAAAGATCAATGTTTTTTTTTTCATTTTTATTTAAAAAAAAGAAAAAAAAATAACGGAAGTGCTAACCCACCTTCCGTTACTTTTACACGTTGGATGAAAGTTCACCCCGCGTTGTAACAATAAAATATGAGTCCATCCGGTTTCCCTACAATCGAGCTAGTACAAGGCTACATTAGAGTTGAGCACGCAACTTGGAATGTGAGCTGAATAGGTGTTAAATGGAACTTTATAAGCTATCACCTATCAATTTATTTATTTATTTTTTTTGGTGAAAACACCTATCAATTTATGGACTTAGAAAGTGGTGGAAAGAAAAAACAATTACGAGAGGAAGACTTTTGTCTTTATTGGAAGAGTGCAAATGCAAAGTTAATTAGGAAATACCCATATACAAGTTTTTGCACCTCAATAACATTTTTAGTACTTGCACCGGTATACATGCATATGTGCTCCACCTTATAAAATACAGGTAGAGAGGGGTTATTTATTTTGGAGTGAGTAGGAAATGATGTGGTCACCGGTGACCACTTTAGGAGAACGACTTGAGATAATAGGAAGGTGGTGTAAATTTTGCATTAACTTTTGGAATATAAAATTTGTATGTCAGTAAATGTAAATGATAAAAAATGTAAATTTTATATGAGGTAAGAATGAAAATCATAGTCACAAATTTATATTTGGTAAAATTCCCGATTAGTACCCTGTATTTTGGCTGGAGTGATAATTTGGTCCCCGAACTTTAAAAAGCAATAATTCAGTATCTGAATTTTTAAAATGTGACAATCTACTACCTGCCGTTAACCAGTCTGTTAATCAGCCGTTAAGTGACATTTGGAAAGTTAAAAATGTCCTTCGAATGCCATCTAATTCTCTTTATCAACCATTCAAACGTTGACAAAAAACTGAACAATCCCAAATACTAGCCTCTTCTATTCAAAAAAGTTGGTGATTGTTTAGAAGAATTTAGAATTTGAGACTATTCATTTTATTGTCTATATTTGGATGATTGATAAAGAGAATTATATAGCATTTTTAGGGTATTTTTGACTTTTTAAATGTTACTTAACGGCTGATTAACAGGTTGGTTAACGACAGGTACAGGATTGTCAAATTTTGAAAGTTCGGGTGCTAAATTGTCGCACTTTAAAGTTAAGGAATTAAATTATCACTTGAGCCAAAATACAAGATACTAAACAGAAATTTTCCCTATATATCTGCACTGCAAAAGAAGACAGAGCCTCTAGTAAGCTACGTAGATGATATCCTTTCTTGGGCGTTGTACTTGCGTGGAAATGGAAGAAACTACCACATCTGCATCCAGACCCTGCGGATTTTGAAACTCCTAAAGCTGCTAAAAATAATACATCTACAATTGCATTACATTTTTAATCTAGAAACTTTTTACATTTTATGCATTTTCGAGGATCAGATCCAGTCGGCACAACAATAAAAAGTACATTCAATGAACACTATTGACAAGGGAGAATGACCGATCAGTCCAGGGTCAGAATTTGTAGTCAGAAAGTACTGTTGGGGTAGATGCCAGCTTGGAATTGATGCCAATTCATGGGTGGGCATTGATGCATACAATGTGGATTGTTGACTTTTTAAATGTTTATAGCTATACAGTGAAAATAAGAAATTTGCATTGGACAAATCCGTACTTCTCCATAAGGGTAAGTGAAGGATATATGAATGAACAGGTTTAAAAAATTTTGAAAATGTTCATTTAACATGATGTGCTACTTCATCCAGAATTGCATTTTTCACCCTACCACCGTACTGCCTTGCATAAAGTTAGGGCTTGTTCGTTTGCTCTGAAGTCTGACATATGAAAGTGTAATAATTACATTAAGAGGTATATTGGTATTGATGAATTTTTCTTTCCTCTGAATTCTGAATGCAAAGAATGGTGTTTTAAATTCTAAATTCTGAAAACTATCAAATATCCATTTTGGGGGTATCATTGAAAAACAAAAAGTTGTATAATTGTACTTTAAGAGATAAGAGATAAGAAAAAACGAACAACTAATTTTCTCTTAAATTTAAAAGATTCTTCTTAAAAGATAAGAGTTAAGAGGAAACGAAGACCCTTAATTTTAAAATAAAACAAAACTAAATTAGCTAATCCAAAGATTCTCATCTCGTAGAAGTTTTAATTAAAAGGGGTTTTAACCGTTCAGTCCACCCTTACCGATAGAGCTAAGATGGAAAGAAACAAAAAAACGTGCATCTTGTAATAAAGAAGGGAACAAAAAAAAAGGACTAGTTGATGAAAAAAATGGTAGGGTACCTTTGAACAGGGCAATTGTGTACAAAATTATGCTCAAACCACTGCATCCTTTTGGCGCCTTATAACCAAAATTGACCTAATTATGCAATCTTACATACAGAGAAGGCAAGACAAATAAAAAATAAAAAAAAAAGAAGCGCAAGCCTAACACTGATTTCCAAAGGTTTCCTCCGACAACCTTCTTGAGCTGTTCATTATAGTTGGACTCAGCCTGCACATGAGAACACAGAATTCTGATTGATTCAGTGCTCCATCTCCATCCAAATCCCCCTCTCGTAACATACACGATAGTTCATCATCACTCAAGTCCTGCAGTCCCAAAAGAGAGGAATTTCTCTTCAGGCTCTGGAATGTGATGAGACCCGTTTGCTGATCCATTAGCAAGCTAAACCCGTTACAGAGCTCAGCAATAAATTGATCAGCACCCAGTCTCTCTATCATTGACGGAAAGAAATCTTCAAAGACGACATCATTCTGTTCGGCTTCGGCCATCGTAAGCTAGGTGAATTCCAAGAGAGGTATATATATATAAGATCGAGGGGGGTGGAGAGAAAAGTGAAACTGGCCTAGCTGCGTTAGATTAGGGAAAGAAATTAAAAGGAGAGGAAGAGATGAGTTCTTTGGAAAACATCAAGGATGCCACTGCCCACTGGAGTTGGGGATAAAGAAGGTTTTATATATAATTAATGTTCAGAGCAGCTGATACCTGCTTCAGTTGTTGGAAGACTTTCGTACGTGCCTTCGTGGAAGCTGCGCGCATAGGTTCTTCACGAATCACGATTGATCTGACCTATTAGCTGATCATAGCCTCATAAAATAAGCCGGCTATATATATATAATATAATAGAAGTAAGAAAGAATTGCAGTGTGATTTCTACTTAATCCATGTCCTCAGACACTGGACTAACAAGAATGTGTACGTACTCTTCAATTAAATTGGTAACCCAGAAATCAACGGTATTTATCATTACAATAGAGAGGATGGCTTTAGTTTTTACAAAGCCGGCCGGGGCCTTCTCAATAATAAAATATTTTTAACCAAATCATCTCTGTAAACCCTACTAGAATCACTGTCATCAATTACCAGAACCACATAGCAATAAGTACAAAGACTCCATGTCTCCATCCATAAGAGGACAACACTTGGTAACAGTGGGCACTTCATAGGATAGGTGATGGAGTTAATCAGAATTCATATTACCTGCATCAAACCGGCCCTAATGGATTGGGATAGATATGCTTTAATTGGGGTAGGGTTGTGAGACACGTAGCCGCCCAACTATCATCCTGCCACGTCATCTTAATTCGATACGTTAGTATAGCTTGGTCACGTCGGCCTAGCCCGGCCACGACAGGCTAGTTTGGCCAAGCTACGCTATTATTGTGGTATCCCATCTTATCCTTCTAGCCACGTCAACTACACATCATATAGATGAGCACAGTTACGAATAAAGAGGAATAAGGAAGACGACTCCGTTAGGGAATGGAACTCTATCCCGAATACCTCGGCGGCTAACTTCATCCCGACAACCCCGGAAGCCCAACCTGACCAGGACACGGATCTTCGGCTATAAAAAGGTACTCCATGCTCGAGGTAAGGCATCCAACTTCTAAGTCTTACACCGCTACTTACCTCGAATCGGCATCCTTATAGCTCGGCCCAACCATCCTACCACCTCCTACTGACTTGAGCGTCGAAGTTCTTACACGGGGATAACTCCTTGGGCCTCTGACTTCTGTTTCCTTGATCACAGGTCTTGAAGCACGACCTCGTCCTTGTAGCTCGGCCCCACCCTGTCAGCAAGGACTATCTGGTTGCTCTCCTCAGTTCGTGCACCACCTCGGATTCAGCAACATCAGATTGGTGCCGTCCGTGGGAATGGCACAGAAAGCCTTTCCTGAAAATCTCATTCCTCGCTGCGCAATTAAGGAAGCGATTAAGATGCCTAAAAACTAGTCTAAACGAGCAACTGGCCATTCCCCGTCTCGGGAGAACCAAGAAGTCTCGCAACCTTCGGCCGCAGTAGATCTAGCACAATTCCGAGCTATGCAAGAAAAGGTTGATAAAATCTTCGAATTCATGCAAACACTAGGGTCTGTCGCGCCACCCAACCGGGCTGACCCCCCTCATGCCCCGATGCGCACGAAGGACGATCCTCGGACCGAGGACTCCAAAGCGCACCAGTCATATGCAAGGGGAGAGCGGTTCGAGCGTATGAGGCAAGACATGACCCGAAGGCCCGCCACCATTGCCTGTTCCCGAGGACGGGACTACCATCACCAAACATACCAATCAACGCGCCGCCCTTCGTAGTTTTACTCGTCGAGTCAAGCTCGGTCAAGGATCACCCCACATGACCCAAAAGGGAGGCCATACACACTGCAGCCCCATACAACAGAGATGCCAAAATTAAAGAGCTTCGACAACGTCTGGACGAGTTAGAGTGCACTTCCACCAATAAGAGTGCAATTCCAACCATAAACCAACTTGTGCAGGCCACCGCGCATATCACCAAGGAGCAACCCTTCATCTAGGACATAGTGAACGAGGTACCCCTTGTCTGATGGCGAGCCCCCCAATTTGACAAGCACGACGGGAACTCCGACCCTTTCGACCATGTCGCGGCATTCGAAAACCAGATGATGCTACACAGTGCGTCGAAGGACTGATGTGCAAAGCCCTTGTAACCACGATGCAAGGCCCAGCCTTGGCATTGTACTCCTCTCTGCCGCCGAGGTCTATAGCGTCATGGGCCCAACTGGAGAACCAGTTCCTGGCACAGCTCACAGCTAGTCAGAAGCATTGGAAAACCTCGGCCAGCCTTATGCAGGTCCGACAGAGAAAGACGAACTCCCTTAGAGATTACCTGGCGAGGTTCAACAAAGAAGCACTTCAAGTCAGGGACTTAAATCAATCAGTCGCGGGGACGGCCATACAACACGGACTCCGCCCTTCCCTTTTCAAATTCTCCATCTCCAAGAATCCACCTCAAACATTGGCTGCGCTAATGAGCCACACGCAGAAGTATATCAACGCTGAAGAGGCCCAAGTGTAGCTCAGAGATGAGGATGAGAAGTCCAACAAAAAAAAAGGAGAGAGAACAACGAGCGAAAGTCCGAGAGGTGGGACAAAAACCACAAGAGGCAAGACCGCTGGACCGACCATAGACCTCGCATCCCTCCGCCGACCTATCGGAATTTCACACCACTTAACGTTCTGCGGTCTGAAGTTCTGATGCAAATTCGCTACTGCAACTATGTCAGGTGACCCGAGAAGATGAAGACGCAAAGCAACAAGAGGAACTGAGACAAATATTGCGAGTTCCACAAGGACCACGGCCACGATACGGAGAACTTTTTTGACCTACGCAACCATATCGATGTTCTAATTAGGTGCAGTTATCTCAGCGGCTTCGTAGACAGAATGAAGAAGTCAGACCAAGAGGAAAGAAGAGTGGATGAAGCTCGAAAGCCTCTGCCCCGAGGCCCTCCTATCGGCATCATCCACGTAATATCGGGAGGACCGCCTCCAAAGGGGAAAGCAGCTTAGGATGGAAAAGATATGCTTGGCTATACAAGATCGATGACCGAGGTCACGAGAGGAGGTGCAGCACATCTATTACCTTCACTGACGATGACCTCCGAGGGGTCCAGACACCACATGACAATGCCTTAGTCGTCACAGCTGAAGTGGCCAACTTTGAGCTATGGCAGATCCTAATCGACACAGGGAGTTCTGCCGACGTACTGTTTGAAGATGCATTCGAAAAGCTCGGCATCACCAGAGAACGGCTTGCACTAGTTAGCACTCCCTTGATGGGATTTTCAGGAGAGTCCATCCACCTCACTGGGAGGATAACTCTTCCCCTCTTGATCAGAGACAGTGACATGACTGCGACGGCCATGGTGCGCTGCCCTCCTCTTACAATGTGATCCTCGGCAGGCTGACCCTCAATGCGCCCTGTAGGTCGTAGTCTCAACATACCACATTGCCATGAAATTTCCAACCAAGTATGGTATAGGGGTGGCGCGCGGGGACTAGAAAACAGTGTGACATTGCTATTAGTTATCCTGTCGAGGACCACGTCCAGTGATCGAGATACTGATGGCGGAAGCATATGACCTGCGTGACGAAGTAAAGGCGTAGAGCGGCCGACCTATGGAAGACCTCATCTAGGTCCCCTTGTTTGAGGAAGACCCTGAAAAGACAGTCCAAGTTGGCTCCTTGCTAGGCGACCACCTCCGAGAGGAACTTGTTCGACTACTGAGGAATAATCCTGACGTATTTGCTTAGTCGGTAGAGGACATGCCTGGAATTGATTCTGAAGTCATCACACATCAGCTGAACGTTGACCCCTGTTACCGACTTGTGAAGCAGAAGAAGAGAAACTTCGCCACAGAGCGGTGGCAAGTGATCGCTAAGGAAGTACAAAAGTTGCTCGACGCTGGCTTCATTAGGGAAGTCAAATACCCCGATTGGCTGGCCAACGTAGTGGTCGTGAAAAGCAAAAAGGCCAAACACCACCTGGCCAACCTCTGCAAAGTCTTTGACACACTTAGAAAGTACAAGATGAAGTTAAGCCCGACCAAGTGCACCTTCGGGGTTGGCTCCGACAAGTTTCTGGGGTTTATGGTAACACAGAGAGGAATCGAAGCAAATCCGGAGAAGATAAAAGCCATTCTTGACATGTCATCCCCTCGGACCCACAAAGAAGTGCAACGGGTCACCAGGAGAATAGTTGCCCTTGGCAGGTTTATGTCCAAGTCCATGGACCGATGCCTCCCCTTTTTCAAAGCACTTAAACAGCCAAAGGACTTCCATTATACAAAAAAGTGTGAGCAATCTTTCCAGTAACTAAAGCAGTACCTGAGCTCACCACCCCTCCTGACGAAGCCGAGCCCAGGAGATGACCTATTGCTTTACCTTTCAGTCATGGATGAGGTCGTTAGCTCAATATTGGTCAAAGAAGAGGACCGAGTATAGAGGTCGATCTACTACACCAGCAAGGTCCTCAACGGCGCAGACACCCAATACTCCAATCTCGAAAAGTTGGCTCAGGCCCTCGTCACTGCAGCCAGAAAACTCAGACCATACTTCTAAGCCCACATTGTTCGAGTACTCACCAGCCAGCCCTTCAAGAAGGTGCTATAGAGACCAGAGGTGTCGAGCTGCCTAGTCAAGTGGAGCATGGAGCTGAGTGAATTCGACATCAAGTACGCACCCCGGCCAACAATCAAAGCCCAGGCCTTGGCAGATTTCATCGCAGAATGTACATTTACCATGGAGGAACTGGCCCCACTGCTCCCAGCATGGATCCTCCATGTTAATGGCTCGTCGAACCAACAGGGCAGCGGTGTTGGCCTTATCCTCCTCGGCCCAGACGACGTAGTGTTGGAACATGCCCTTAGGTTCAAGTTCAAAGCGTTCAACAATGAGGCTGAGTATGAGGCCCTGATTGTTGGGCTCCACCTTGCTTTAGACCTCGGGGCAC